TGTGGGGGGGGGGGGGGGGCAGCAGGAGGGCCATATGGCCCCGGGCCTCTCATGCACCGAGGGCCTCAAATTTAGACTTTTGATGTTATCTCCAAATGAGGTTATACATACAGACACAGACATACACTGACAGGATTGAAAGAAGAAGACATTCATCATACAGCTTTAAACTTGCGTCCTATTACCGAGCCACACCTCCTGTAGTGCACTATGAATTAACATTTTTTTAATATACCAGAAGCCTCAAAAAATGGAAGTGGCCCAGGCCTCTCTCGACCTATGAGAAGGCCTGGTTGTTGTAGTTATAGCTTATTTCCAGTGACATTCCTAGGAAGGGGAAGAGGACAAACAACACAATGCAGTTGAAGCCACAGATTTGGGGAGACAGCCTGCTTCAGGATCAGCAGCACACACAAATGCAAACAGAGGTAACATGCACTTTTACAGCATTAAATTACTGATCACTTAGAAGCAGGGAAGAGAACAGGCCACTTCTGGGGTGGAAGCAGATGACAGCATCCAAGCCTGCCTGCACACAGCAGCCCCTGGCTTGTCCCTTCATCTTCCTAAATGGGATTCCCGGACTTCCAAATTGAGCAGCTGTTCCTACAACAGCAAGGTGCCTCACAGGCATTGCCAGGCAACGGCACGAGGGCAGCTTGGCTTGCAGCACCTGGCTGCACCACCAGCCCATGCATAAGGTCCCTTCCAGCTCTATTTTTCCTAGGATCCTATATATGTCTGAGAGTGTATACACTTTATATATGCATGCATGCACATGGGAGTCAAGGATTTTTCTTAGTGATATCTTTTATTGGGCCAGCTGTATAGTTTGAAGAGATGTTACACCCCCCCTGCAAAAGTGTTAGATTCTTTTACCAGAACTAAATGCTTCTATCAACCTAAAATACATTTATCTTTTAAATTTTTCACAAGAATTTTTTTCATGTTGCTCTAAGTTGGAACAGAAAATCCTGAAGGACTTTGGGGTTGGTGCTAGGGGTAAGGCCGCAACAGTCTGCCTGAATTAATTTAAAGCCAGGACCTTTAGCCCGCTAGCCTTTGTGGGAAGGGGCCTTTTTTTCTGATAGATCCATAAAGCACACACTTGCCTATAATTCCATAAAATTAGCAGAAATGAAATGATGGTTCATAATTAGCTTTAAGTCTCATCTATACTTACCTTATTTAAAAAAAAGGAAAAACACCCCAGATAGTTTTCTTAAATGTATGAAGCAAAGCAGCTGCATTGCAAAGCTAGCCATCCTTTCAAAGGAAAGATCTTTACAGTCCCAACTGCCTTTTGAAGCTCCTCAGTAATCCCAAGCTATTAATGTCACTTACAAAAGGACAGGAGGTAAGCAGCCTTGTAAAAAAATTAAAAAATAAATAAAAAACCACAACACAATTAACTAATCTGTTGTGGAGCCAGCCCTAGCCCAGCTTAGGGAAGTGTGTGAACAGCATCTTTTGCAACACAAACATTGCTCCTCTGGGCTTCTCTTCATGAAAGGAGGCTCAAAACCACAGTCCCTGCGCTAGCTGGTATCAGGAGAAGCCAGGCAGGATGAGCAAAGCTCCTTCCTGGCTCAGGGCAGTGGCTCTCCCAGGCACCTGGGCCTGCTTCGTCCCAGTCCACAGGCCAACCAAGCTGCAATCACAGCCCAAGTACAACCAGGCCAGAGCAGGGGACAGCATTAAGCCCCGCAGCATGGAAGAGCTCCAAGCGAGGACAAGCTTCAAATACCTTCAGAGTGTAAATGATGCTTTGTCCGGGGTTGGATTAGGTGACCTCTGCAGCTCTGGTTTTGCTGGTGGAGAAGCCTCGCCCCGCCTCGCCTCGAGACCGTGCTAATCACGTGGCCCTGCCTTCCCTACCCACCATTGCACACGCGCCAAACTAGCTATAGCGTTGCGCAAGCGCAACCAAACTTGCCGCCCCTTCACATTGCGCATGCGCCGAAACGGCCGGCAGCCTCTGTACCACGCATGCGCCATCCGCTGCACTCTGGCTCGTGTGTTCCCCCCACATTTCCTCCCTCACCTTCCCCGCCCCCCCCCCGGCTCACTCACCGCTCCGCCTGTCCCGTCCCGGAGCAGCGCGACTGGCAGCGGCCACCGGCCCTCGAGACCCGCGCCCTCCCTTTCCCGCTCCGAGACCCCACTCGCCTCAGCACCGCGGCTTCCTGGCGCGGGGTGATGACGTAACTAGCGCGGCGGCGGCCGAGGGGAGAGTCACGTGACTCTCCATTCCCGCGGGCCGGCGCCCCACGTGACGCGCGTCCCAGTGCGGGCTACCGCTGTCTCCCGGCGCGATCTCTGCGTTGGTGCCCCGGGCAGCCGTCTTCGGCCCCTGCCCCGCCTCCCTGCTGCATTTGCCCCCAGCCCGGCTGGGCCTTAGCCCTGTATGCCCCAGAGCCCGGCCAGCTCCGGCTCAGGCCTGGGGGAGAGTGGGGCTCGTCCACCAGGGCGAGTCCCAGGATCCCCCTCTGCAGTCTCAAAAGGGAGCGATGAACCGGACAGAGACCCTGCAAGACCCGGTGCACACGCGGGTCAGGTCAGCAAGAGCTGTCATCTCTGATTGGATAAATATGTGTGGAGGTGGACATGCCTCTGGGGTCAGGGTTTAAACTGTTCAGCAGGGTCCGAGCAGGTGATGGCAGAGCTCCCCTGCAGTCTTCAAACATCAGTAGAAAACAGTTGGGGGGAGGCGGGGAGAAGTTTCCTGTGGGCAGACTGCTCCTGTGACTATCCACCCTCTAATTCCTGGCACTGACACCCCGGTACAGGCTGCTGAGACTGGAGTGAAGCTTGTTGAGAGCTGACAGGGCAGTTCCCACCTTGTTAAGCTTCTGCATATAAAGGGCAAGACCCTTGGTTGCTGTGAAGCAGGGGGTGCCAGGCACTTCATCCCAGGCTGGCCTCAAATCAGCCTAACGCAGGGGTTCTTAACCTGGGGTCCACGGACCCCCGAGGGGTCTGTGGATAGATTTCAGGGGATCTGTGAACTTGATGGGAAAAAAATTACATCTTTATTTTCACTAACCTCTAACTGAAATTTAGCATTTCCTTCAATTATGAATGTAGGCAACAAACCACAATAGTATTAGCAGTACCTGTGACTTTGTCACCAATAGAAATCACAGGTATTTTCATATCACATTACAGTTGTTGCAGATACCTTGAAATATCATTTAGGCTCATCACTACTTCGAAATTACGGTAGTTATTAGACCCGCCGCTAGATCGCACATGATCGCAGTCTTCCTGTCTGCAGATGCTCGTGTGATGTAGCTGGCCAACTATCGGGCAACTCTGCACCTAGTAGTTGTTTAGCCACCAAATGGTGAAGTTGCATGTTCTCACATTGGTGACCCAGACCCAATTTAAGTTGAAATGTCGAAGAAAAGGAAGTATGATGAAGACTATGTATTACATGGTTTCATTTGCATTAATGAACGTGACGGGACACAAAAGCCACAGTGTTTTTTGTGCGGAAAAATTCTTGCAAACAGAAGTATGAAGACAGCAAAACTGAAAAAGCACCTCACGTCTGTCCATCCAGAAAATGCATCTAAAGATGCGGGTTTTTTTCGTGCGAAGAAAGCTCAATTCAAAAAAGCTGGGACACTTCCAAAACTTGGATTTGCCATTTCACAAAAACCTTTTCTTGAAGCATCCTATAAAGTTGCTTACCGGATTGCCAAACAAAAGAAGCCCCATGCTATTGGAGAGACTTTAGTAAAGCCATGTGCACTGGAAATGGTCGAGCTGGTTTGTGGACTGGAACAGAGGAAAAAATTGGAAGTGGTTTCCTTGTCAAATGATGTGATATGTTCTAGAATAGTTGATATTTCTTTTAACATTTTGAAGCAGGTCATCGAGGAATTGGCAGCCTCACCATTCCCCTTCAGTATGCAACTGGATGAAACTACAGACATCTCTCAGTGTAGCCAGCTCCTTGTTTTTGTTTGCTATGTGTATGCTGATACCATCAAAGAAGAATTCTTATTTTGTGAGTCCCCTTTGGAAACTACAAAGGCCGTCGACGTTTTGGAAATGGTAAAAAGTTTTTTTGCCAAACAAAACTTTGACTGGAAAGAAAAGCTTTATACTCTTTGCACAGATGGAGCTCCTGCAATGCTTGGTAATACATCTATCTGGTTTTGCTACTTTTGAAAAAGGAAGCTCCTCACATCGTCGTCACTCATTGCTTTTTATACAGACATGCACTGGCAACAAAGACTCTTCCAACAACCCTGAAAGAAGTTTTGTCAACAGCCATAAAAGTGATCAACTTTATCAGAAGCAGGTCTCTGAATCATCGCATTTTTAGAAGATTTTGTCAAGAAATGGGAGCAGAATATGAAGTGCTTCTCTACCATGCAGAAATTTGCTGGCTTTCAAGAGGACAAGTCTTGAAGCACTTTTTCAAACTAAGGGCAAAAGTTTCACTTTTTCTGAAAGAAAAAGAAAACCCACTCTTGGAACACTTTGAAAGAAAGGTTATTATCCATGGGTTGGCTTATCTGGCAGATATTTTTAACTATATGAATGAGATAAATCTTTCAATTCAAGGTCCTGAAGTCACCATTATGGATGCTACTGAAAAATTACAAGCTTTCTTGGCTAAGCTGCCGATATGGAAGAAGAGAGTAGAGGCCAACATCCTTGCAAACTTTCAAATGCTGGAGGAAGTGCTTTACCAAGATGGAGTTGAGATCCAAAATTCTGTCAATTTCTTTGAAAAGAGAAATCTGCAAACACCTGGAAACACTTCAGAACTCTTTCAAAAGTTATTTCTATCTTCATGGCATTAAAGTTGAACCATGGATCCGCAATCCTTTTCTTTCTGATATGAACTGTATCGAAGATGTTGACCTAGCCAAAGATGAACTCATTGATCTTAGGACAAAAAACTTACTACAATTGGAGTTTAACTCAAAAAGCCTTGGAGAATTCTGGTGTCCCTTGAGAGAAGCCTATCCTCACCTTGTAAAGCGAGCTATGGAAGCTTTAATTCCATTTGCAACAATATATCTTTGCGAATCGGGATTTTCAACACTTGTAACCATCAAAACAAAAAATCGAAATTGATTGGATGTCCAACATGACATGCGTGTTGCCTTGTCAAAGACCACCCCACAGTTTAATGTTCTTATTCAAGCTAAGCAACAACAGCCTTCACACTGATATGTCTTTAAAAAATAAAATTTAACTTTAACTTGCCTATATTTTAAATGTATTGTCTTGTTATTTAATGCATTAATAAAGAAGCACATATATTACTATATCACAAATTTGTTTTTTAAATATTTTGATAACTGTATTTCAATATAATTGGTTTCCTTTGTAATCCTATGTATTTTACTTTATGCATTTAAAAACATTATTCTGAGAAGGGGTCCATAGGCTTCACCAGACTGCCGAAGGGGTCTGTGGCACAAAAAAGGTTAAGAACCCCTGGTCTAAAGGATGAGTTGCCTCCAGATGAGCCTATAGGCCGTGAAGTGGCCTGTGCTGTCAAATACATGGGTTATTTGTTCAAGTAATTAGGCAATGGGCTTCACTTCTCCTCAGTGTACATGACCTACAAATGCCAGGCACAGGCAGATCCTCCGTCACCTGACAGTGTGGGTGTCATGCCACAAACTGGGAATAAATTGTGCCTCTTCCATAACAGTCCGTTAATCCTTTAGCACCTGGGCAGGAATCCAAGGAAAGGATGTGATGGCAACAGCCAGGCACTTCGCAGGACAGTGCATACCTCTGTATCTGACCATGATCCTTCCACTCTTTGCCTCCTCTGCGGGTCTGAGTCCCCGTACAACATGCACACGTTGGGTCTTGGGTGTGTCCCTAAATTGTATGTCCCTAGCAGTGGGGGAAAGTGGTGCGAGTCATGCCCTGCCTTACTGCTGTGTGCACAAAGCAGTATGAATAGACATGAAAGGGCACCTCTGGAAGGGAGGTTAAGGCCCTGCTCCAGCCTCCCTTGGCTAGTGGGCCTGCATAAGGACCAGACAGGTAAAGGGCAAATGCAGTATTTTAGCTGGCAGCTAACAGAGATCCTACCTCCAATCAGCCGGTAGAGAGGCTGGTTTGGGATCCCAGATGTGGCTGGCCCAGATGCATCAGTGCTGTCAGCAGCCTGCAGGGCATAGAGAGCTCCCAACTCAGACTGGCATTGGGGGTGGTCCTGGCTGTGTGGGCTATAGTTACTGGCAGCAAAGAATTTCTGAAGGATGGCAGCTGGCAGGGGAGGGTTGTCCTCAGCTCCAGGAGCCCTGGCTTCCCATTCTGCTCTGCAGCATGGCTCAGAAGAGCATGGCTTTGGTGGAGTCCTTAAGTTCACTTCTTCTCCAAAGCTGTCCCATGTGGGTCTCTGTCCTGGAGCAGGCAGAGGATGGTCATGACGATGGCACTGGCTCTTAATGTGCATCCCAGGAAATGAAATCCTTTGCTTGCTTTCCCCACCTCGCTTCCCAGGAACTCTAGGATAGACTCATCCATGCTGACTAAGCCCTGTCCTCTACTTGCTGTGGATATTTCATCTCTAAAGGTAATCTTAATTGCATAAGTATAAAAACTACTGGCAGGGAACAGATTGTTCCTGTCTGTTGCTTTGCTGCTTGCCTGTAAATAGTTGTATGTAATTTACCATCTGGCAAAGAGATCAAAATATCTAGACAGTGACTCCTCTGAGTGCTGAGTGAGAGGCAGGGAGCTTGATGCTGCCATGAATTGCTTTCACACCTGACAGGGACGCCCCCCCTCCAGGGGCCAGCACAGTGTCTCCAGGTGCTGGAGGATAACCTGCAGCAGGGGCTGCCACTGAACAGTGATTCCAACAGGGAGGTCAATGCTCTGATTCTGCCATGGGTGCCTGGCAGGCATGACCCCTGCCCCCCACCCAGAGGTTATTGTCGGATCATGGTCTAAGGCAGTGAACACACTTCATGGCAACGTCCTTCTCAAACCTCTGCACCTGCATTGTAACTGGCCATGGGCACTTCCCCAAGCCCTGACTGCATGGGCAAGTGGATAAACAACCCAGAGACCATCAGCAGGGGCTCCACGTAGGCCTGGTCTGCGCTGCCTCTGCACCCATTCCCCTGCTCACTTATGCCTGC